AGGTTGGAAGTGACCTCTGGAGGTCATCTAGTCCAAGCCCCCTGGCTCAAGCAGGGCGACCCAGAGCCAGTTGCCCAGGCCATGTCCAGACAGCTTTTGAGTATCTCCAAGGATGGAGACTCCACCACCTCCCTGGGCAACCTGTGCCAGTGCTCGGTCACCCTCACAGACAAAAAGTGTTTCCTGATGTTCAGATGGAGCCTCCTGTGTTTCAGTTTGTGCCCACTGCTTCTGGTCCTGTCACTGGGCACTGCTGAAAACAGTCCAGCTCCATCTTCTTTACACCCTCCCTTCAGATATTTATATAGATGAGTAAGATACCCCCCCAGCACTTTCTCTTCTTCAGGCCACAGAGTCCCAGCTCTCTCAGCTTTTCCTCGTAGGAGAGAAGCTCCAGTCCCTTCCTCATCTTCATGGCCCTCTGCTGGACTCTCTCCAGTATGTCGGTGTGTCTCTGGTACTGGAGGGCCCAGAAGAGGACACAGTACTGCAGGTATGGTCTCACCAGTGCTGAGCAGAGGGGAAGGATCATCTCCCTCAACCTGCTGGCAATAATTTGTCTAACATGGACCAGGATACCATTCGCCTTCTTTATGGCAAGGGCACATTGCTGGCTTATCTTCAACTTGGGGTCCACCAGGACTCCAAGGTCGTTTTCTGCCAAGCTGCTTTGCAGCTGGGTGGCCCCCAGTATATATTGGTGCATGGTGTTGTTCCTCCCCACATGCAGGACTTTGCACTTCTCCTGGTTGAAATTCCTGAGGTTCCTGTCAGCCCGTATCTCCAGCCTGTTGAGGTCCCTCTGGATGGCAGCGTGACCCTCTGGTGTATCAGCCACTTCTCCCAGTTTGGTGTCATCAGGAAACTTGCTAAGGGTACGCTCTGCCCCATCATCCAGGTCATTACTGAAGATCTTGAACAGGACTGGACCCAGCATTGACCCTGGGGTATACTGCTAGCCACTGGCCTCCAACTAGACTTTGCACTGCTGACCACCGCCCTCTGGGCCCTGCCATTCAGCCAGTTTTCAGTTTACATCACTGTTTGCTCATCCAACCCATACATCAACAACTTTTCTATGAGGACCTCATGGGCTGAAAGCCCGTGTCAAGATGAGTGGGTAATCATCACGCTTCTTGTAAAATTTTGTCTTAAGAGACATTCCTGTTCCTGCTCAAATTGACTCTTTCTGTTGAAAACTTTTGTATTACAATACTGTTTTACACCCACACACTCCATTTGAAACATACCTTTCCTTTTTCAGTCTTAAATACTGATTTACCTTACTATTAGAAATAAGGATGACAAGACTGTACATACAAGTTCTCTGCTACTAAACGATAAAGGTTGCCAGCTGACACGATGCATGTTCAGACATCAAAATTTCTGAAGTATGAACCACAGAAACATCTGAAGTCAGTTGCTGAAACCAACGCAAATACTGTTTATTTGTGGGATGCCATTTTACATCAACACCAGCAAAAGACCTAAAAATCAACCGGATGAACTCATGTTAGGTGGCGTAACAGTATTTTCATCAGGTCGTGAGTCACAGGAGTTTAGCACACCTTATTTATGTAATATCCAAATAACTAAGACAAAGCATTCACAGTTACAGGTTAACTGCTGTTCCTCCAACAGCAGTGTCAGTAGGTACTATTTTGTGACAACACGTGTACACACGCACACACACACGGCGGGGGTGGAATTTAAAAAATAAAACAAAAAAAATATCAAGCCGAGTTTTGGTCTCAATTACAGACAACAAACTATTTAGTTGGTGGATGGATTCTATACACTTTCACAGCAATATGAAAGGACAAAACGTAAGGCCTAGAAAGAGGTATTTTAGCAGTTATAATTAAAACCAGGGCACAAGCTAACCTTTAAAGCTGTCTATATGAATTCCAAGAGTATTAAACAATTTGTTAGACTTGTGACCAAGGGTCAACAGAAATCTGGGAAAACCTTAATACAACTGATGTTCATTTCTTGCCCTCCAAAAAAGTAACTTGGGAACATTAACCAAATAGCAATGAGCTGTAACTAATTTTGATTATGTGAGCATATTTGTGATGAAATAAAATGCATGTATTTGTGGTAAAATGGGAGAAGCCTCCATAAATGTTAGAAAAGGCTACACAAAGGTAACCCAAATATTTATTGTAGCTTAAAGACAACCTTAAACAGGTTTTAACTGAAAACTAAAGTATATAAGGGATTCCAATAAATTCCATCCTCTTCAGCTTTCTTTCCTTGAAAAAGATAAAAAGTGGAAAAAACCCCACAGTAACACAGAATTATATTAATATTTTAAATACTTAATATTATTTTGCTGTAGAATGAAATTTAATTTGTGGAATGTTTTGGTTACTAATATTCATAGAATCATAGAATCATTGAGGTTGGAAAACACCTTTAAGATCATAGAGTCCAAAGAGCTCCAAATGTTTGTCATCTATCAACTTAGAGCATCCACTGCTATAGTCTCTGGATGCTGTTTTCCTTTCACTAACTGGCTTTCCACTTCACATCTCCCAAATATCAAGCATGAACTGCACATGGATTATCAAGTTTCTGCTATAAGGACAGTAATAGTACACCAGAAAGATTAGCATAAAAGACTTGTGACACCTCTGCTAGAATGACCTCTCAGTGTCTTGTACAAGAAGCCAGCATATTCTGTATATAACTTTGCAAAAGGAAAAAAAAAAAACAAACCAAACACCCAAACAACAACCAAACCTACACCAACTATAGGATAGCACAACAAATAAAAAAAGCAAACACCAAACTTCCACTAAATACAAGGTAAACTGAGTAGCTTAGGTAAATTTCCACAATTATTTAAAAATGAGAGGGAATTTCTCCAAAATACAAGAGCTGGCAATGTTAGGATCCTCTGCTTATCAGCATATATAGCAAAAACAGAAGGATGGATAGCACAGAGAAGCTTATCAAGACATACGGGTCCATTTTAGTCCATTTGTTCTCTACAAATGTCAGTAAAGCTGTCTACTAGCTGCAATGGAATTTGTGGTTTATTTTATGAAGATGCATGCTTATAAAACCAGCTGAAGACTACAGATTCATCCTGCTTGCGAGTGGAAGAAAAAAAACTTTGCAGCATCTATCTGATTCATTTCCAAACACATTCTTCCTTTCCATCAGTCCTGATCACTTTTACCCAAAGAAAAAAAAGAAGAGTTTGTTTACTTATACAGCGTCAGTACCTTCTGAGGTTCCTCCTCCTCTGTGTTCTTTGCTTTTAATTAAATTTTGTATTCTGCTAAACAGTAGTAAAACTTGGACAAAGAGCACCTGGTTGAGCTGAACAGATTTCTGTTGACCCTGTTATATGAAAGTTATACCTATAACAGATAAGATTCAAAGTGTCTTTGGCTCTTGCTTCCATTATTGGAAGCCAAATTATTTGTGACATACAAAAACTTTTATGCAAACCTTATATTTGTTGCAGGATTCATGCCAATTTGTGTTAAACAGTTTTCTAGAGTCAGTGACTAGCTTCACGTTTAAGAACAATTACAGTATTTCACTAAAATCTTAGCAACCACAATTTAGCCTAATGTTAAAAGTTATATTGCTTCTAAGTTCGTTCTTTTAAGAACTAAACCAGCGGCTCCACTGATATTTCCTTATGGTTATACTATGGTAATATACACATTTACATCAGAAGTCTCAATAAAACATGTGTGTTTTAGTAAGAGGCTTATTGTAAACATTAAATACCACACTCCACTGAATTAATTTCTTGTGCAAACTGGCATCAAACATGGAATTTAAGTTATGCATATTAGGACATGAGAAAGCAATGACTATGTATGTTTTACCACTATTAACTTTAAAGAGTGCTATTTAGTATCATGGAAATCTGAACATGACTATCTCACAGGGAAAGGTAGTATTTTCTTCCTAGCATCATGAAATTCTAGGTTTTGTATGTGCATACATATCGTATATTTATGTATATACAAATATACACAAACACACACACACACAATTTTTGTCTTTGGCAGCTGAGTCTGACAAACAAAAACCAACAACAACAAACAGATTTGAACACAACTGACCACCTGTAGCACCACAATTACAACCTCCTGGTCCAGGGCAGCAAACTAATGTGCTTTTGCTAAACTAGGCTTAATCCTGAAAGTAGTCAACTTAATGACAGTTGTTCCTGACTTCGGTGATGGCAGAACAGGACCTTCAATACAGCTGAAAATTTCACATTCAACCTAAAACGCTTTCCCCCGCTTCCCCTGGATTGCATTCTAGAGAAATATCAAAACTGCCAATACCTTGTAAAATATTTCTACAGGAAAGTAACGTTATTCTTCATTCCAAAACATCCACTGGCCCTTTTTTGTTAAATGCTCCCCAGACCAATATGGAACATTTTATTAAATCCTTAGGGATCAAAGTTTAATAGCACCGGATATTTCAAGGACCTATTTATAAAAATCAACACTAACATTACTTAATAAAGAAGGGTAAGGCAAAGAGAATGTGACAAAATTAGAGAACTTAAACAACACTCCATTCACTCATTTTCCCCAAAATAATCACTAGAACTGTCCTATACAGATAAAGAAATGAGTGAAATAGGCAGTGGTCCCTACTAAAAAGTACTGTCATTTAATGCTGGTGTTTAACATGCCCATTGCCTGCAATGGACATTCTGCTAGGAAATTCCAATCCCCAGCCTGAAAGAAAAAGTAATGTTTTGACTATTCTATATCATATTTTAATTACTTAGAAACACAAAGCTAGAGATCCTGGGAAAGACTAATGTTACAAACAGAAAAAAAAAAAAACCATATCTGTATTATCTACCTGCTAGGGGTGAGCAGACTTTATTCCCCAAACCACTAATTTCTGCTAGAACTTTCAATTTCACTAGATTGCAACATAGACCAAACACTCTTGGTACACCAAAAACTAAAAGCAGTATGCCAAAGGCAATTTACAAAAGTCTAAAACCCATTTTTAAAAGGTACTTTAATTTGTTCATTTGTACCTGTAATAACTACTGCAGTTTTAACATTAAAAAGTCAGTACTTTTTTCTTCAAATGGAAATAATCTGTGGCATGTACAACTATTACAGTGTTTTAATATTTATATGTATATATAATGTATTTCTTAAGACACCGATGTTTCATTCCTATTAAGCATTAGGTCAGGTTTGGCGGATTCCGGTGAAGAAAGTCACAGCATGTCTTGTCTTCTCCCCTCAGAAATTGGCATCTCAAATAGTAACATTAAAATTGACAATAGTTCTTCACGTAACTATGTCCAAGCAGTCTGTTAATTTCATTTTCTGAAATGCTACATTTGAGACCAAAAGAAAAACAAAATAACTAAAGTTTCAACAAACATGTAAGTGATGACTAGAAATATGCCACAAAATTATTTTTACAATACGTTTCTGCAGAAATAACCCTAGGTGAAGCTTTTTTTTTATACACATATACAAAATTTAGACAGCAATATACACATAATCACAGTGAAGACGCTGGCAAGTTCACCAATTCGTAGTGTAAATACAAAATGCAAAGCAGCCTTCAAAGAGAACAATGCTACACAGCAAGCATAGCTAGCTTGTTAAATAGCAAACATCAAAAGTTCCCTGCAAAAGGGATGCAGTGCAAGAAAAGCAGCATGCACTTTGATACAAATAGCAGTTTATGGCTAATGGTTGACATAACTGTGGTAACAGTGACTCTTGAGTGGCTGTGCATAGTTAAACTCCTATGTCATCTGTTTTCCTTTATACCATTCCACAAACTCATCCAACAACACTGGCCCTGTAGAGAGATCAAATAACTGTATTTTACACAATTTTGTAAAAGGACACTGAATGATTAAGCTCAGAGAAATAAATTATTTTAAAACACGAACATATGGTAGTACTTACAGGCTCCATCTTCATCATAGTTACTGAGGTCAAGGTTAATTGTTCTGCTGAATTCAAGAACGTTACACCATTGGTCCTTATTGATAACTTTGTATTTTGATTGCTGCTTAAGGCAAGAAACAGAAGTTAATAAAATACATTTTCAACTCCCTCAAAGTCAGATTTTCTTACAGAAAATTTCAACCTTGTGATGAATTGTTATTTTAATCTGTATGCCATCTAAAACTAAACAGGTTTAAATAAACCACTAAGGAGTCAAACTAGTGTTGAATAATTCATGTTTCTGATTAAGACATCTTTTAGTGGACAAACATACGGCAATAAAAGGAAAGTCCAAAAGCAGAGCAAAGATATTCTATACATTGCCCTGTATTAAATAAACCTTAACAGCATACGGATTTGGGGAAAAGGAAGAAAGGAAAGCTAATCAGTTACAAGTGCTGCTTTGGGGGTTAGTATATTCTAAATCAGAACCAAAAAAAATTTAGCTGTTTATTCTACTTCTAGTTAAAGTATCAGAGAAGACATATAAAAAAAAAAGTAATTCTGTTTCAAACTCCATACCTCTAGAAACTGGTGAAACACTGGAAAAAGGGACCATGTTTTTCCTAAAAGAAGGCCCAACATACACTTGGCAGTATTGATATCTAGGCTGCGCTGATCCTTTTCCTGCATGAAAAGAAAAAGGTCAAAAAGGAAAAAAGAGCCCGATTTCAGGATTTTTCACTTCCCCGACTGCCTGTACGACAGCTCACCCATACATAAAATAAATCAATAAATAGCAGTATCTAACAGTGGTTTTTAATAAAACACAACTTCCTAGTAAAATTTCCTTCCTCGAAGCTAATGGTTTGCTATAGAGATGCTGCTTTCTATAGACTTTCCCAAAAAACTGTCACCGCTGCTGCAGATGAAGCATACGCTCCTGTTTGTGACTTCAGCAAGCAATGGCCACCAGACCCATAGCCATGTTTGCACGTATGCCTCTGCATAGCCATACGTCTCTTAAAATAGTATCACTGCACATATTTCCTGTGGTATTATTACAGCGACATAAACTACTTAACTGTCTACTTGACAGTTATCAAGTAACGCTTGACTATGCAAGAGTGAGCCAAGGAGGTTCTTTGTTCTGTTATTCTACTGATTACATGAAATTCAAATTAAATTAATTATCAAATGAGCAGAGGGAACATAATATACTAGCACATGGAGACCCCTCTCAGAACGGTCCCAGTTTTAGTTCAACGTAGCAGTAGTATATTAAGGCTTAGGGGGTGAGTTTTTTTGTTTCTGCTAAGAAAAAGAAGCATCATCTGTACCCAGCAGATTCATTACATCTAATCAGTGGGAAAGTTAATACATTTGATAACACAACTTCTGCACATCTCAAAAGTAATGTGTGTACATGTAAGATTCCATTTTGTTATTTTAAGTAGTTTATCCATCTACATTTGCTGTCTTGAAATTAAATTTTGGTGCGAGATGGGACGTAAAACCCCATCCTTTTATGCCTTGGTTATAGCATTAAGCTACAAATTCAGAAATCAATGAAATAATAAAAAATAAAGTTCCATGTTAGCTACTGTAGACCTTGATCGCTCTATATGTACTCATGATGGCAGACTGCAAAGTCTAAATTAAGAAAAAACAGGGATTTAGGGATATCCAGGATACAGGGAGTGCCTAACAGAACAGTGCAAGACAGCTCCCCAAGACAAAGGGAATTGAGTCCTATGCCTCACCTGTACAAGTGCAGTTGTATGTATTACAGAATACACATCTTTATGAGAAAAACAAGCTCAAAACATAACTGAATTGTCTTCTATCATATAGGAAGGATGTGGTAGAGCAAGATCCCAGTTCTCAGACAACAACTGAATGCCTTAGCCACAAGGTTATCCTCTCTTCTTGAAACCCACTTCATACAAAATACACCTCCATTCTAAAATTGTGCAGACAGAATTTAATGCAGATTTGTTTTGGAAGTGGGGAGGCCAGCAACTCTGAAAACATTAGAAGTTGGTTTACATTCTAGTCACTAAATCCAAGAGGGACTTCACTCAATCTGATCTAGAGGGAAAAAGTAAATTCCAGGATGAACAAAGCTTTTCAATTAGTAATGAAGCTGAAAAACAAACCTGTAAAGGCATTTCTGTATTAATATGATACAATTCTTTCACTTATTTCCAACATCAAATCGTTCTAAAAACTAATCCTCTTTCCAGATCCCATTTAAACCTCTGTCACAAACATCTTTAAGCAGAAATCATACTGCTGTGAGAATATATTTTATTTTCCATACTGTTTATACTCTGAATTCTTCTCACACACTCAAGTGTTATTGAAATCAGGCTCTGTTGCCTTTACTTTGGCCATGCTGTTTTTACATGCCTCACATTGTTAAGTTTCTGCATTCTCCCTCTCCAACTACTGTTCAGAACAAATTGTTCAGATAAGCCCTTCATGCCCACCTCCAACTGCCTAATGGCACATCTGCCATGACAGATGCTCCAATTTCATTCTTAACATACATTCCAGATACTTAACATTCTCTTTCTTGGATACAGTGGAAAGAATGTATTGACAAACTCTGATAAATTTCAGTATTTGTTTTACATTGATGATAGACAGTCTTTCTGAGATTTTTCTTCCCCCCCAGAATTTCAGATAAAAGACCTATTTAAGCCATGAAATATATGCATCTGTATGTTCTCAAACTTGGTGATGACAATGGCAAACAGGGGGCGAGGAATGTATTCGTGCTTAATACCAACATATGGTGTTTTAAATTATTTCCTCAAAATCATGCTGACTTTAATCGTGCATGCCACATAAAACCTTGATGATGCTTATTTTTATTGACAAACTAACTCTAAATACCAAATCACAACAGACGCTTTCAAAAATTCTCTCTTAAAACTTCAAAAGTTTAGACAAGGGTTTTTTGCCATGGAGTACTTCCCTGAAATGATTGCCCTTAGGATGGAAATTACACAATCTTCTGAATCAAAAACCAAAACTGCTCCCATCAGCATTTTCCTATCAATCACTTCAATTATTCTGATAAAAATTAGGTACAGGTTCATCTGCCGCATCTACATAAATATATCAGCCTTTGTCAGCATTCATTTCTATTCTTATGGATGCCATTCTCCTATAGACTTCCCCTGGCTCCATAGTATTAGAAGTTCAATAATTCTATTAATCTAATATTGTTTTGACAATTCCTCTGCTGATATGCCTTTGACTTGCAGTTCTACAATCTGTTTTTTGGGGGTTTTTGGTTTTGGTTTGTTTGGGTTTTGGTTTTTTTGGTTTTTTTGTTACAAATGATGTCATCTGCGCATCTGTGTCCCAATGTTTAAAGTCTTTTTCAAGACGACTGTTTGTCACGTCAATTTGTTACCTCTTAAAAAAACTCCACCCACTATCCTCTTTTTAAGTTTCTGCACGCACTTTTGACAGGCCATCAGCTGGCGCAGATTTGCTACCAGTACAATGTTTTTTAATCCATTCTAAATATTTCATCAGTATCTTGAACTTCTTTGGCAATGTTAGTTATTTCTAGCCTTTGCATTTTACGTTGAGCAATATTGGAAGAATAAATCTTCACATGGCAAAGGAGGAATTAAGATGTTGATATGGCTTTTTTTCCTCTCATACTAACTAATGCCGTGCATTCTGTCGTATTCAGCTGTAGGTTTCCTTGGTTAAAAGCAAACTACTGTGAATCTCTGCTTGCTGGCATCCAGAAAGCACTGATGTACCACAAATCTGAGTTACTTACGACAGACTTAACTATCAGAATTGCTATCAGTTCACTTTCTTCTTATTATTTTTCCCATGTTACTTTTTTTGCTGCAAATTTTCTTGGTGCTTTTGGTTCTCCTGCACTGAAATCTGAGCTTCAGTTTTGCCTGTGACCATTTTTATGTTAAATCTTCTGTACATTCCATCACGTTAGCAAGATGGATGTCCAATTCCATGTCAAAACGTTAATTCAGAAAATGAAAGTTCTTTTATTGCTCCCTTTAAGTAGGAATAGTCTTATGCATATTATGGGTTCCAATACCAGGTACAATTTTATCAATACATATTTTATAGCAGGAAGAGTGATATCAGGATATTGTTTAATAAATACTGAGAACATCATTAATGACCTTCCAACAGTCTTCTGAACCAGTATTTATATTATATCATATCCAGCTTTTATCATGTTAGTTATTTTTACCACCTGCAGATATGCCTGAAATGCCTTCCTGTTTTAAATATGTTTATGCTCACAAAATTCAAACAGTAAGAAGAAAACCCAGGGTAATTCTAAAACATGTCAAAACACTAAGCATCAAGCATCCTCTACACTTTTCTTTTTCAGTTCTAGCATTTTGCATATACTTTTTTAGAATATGAACAGCTGCATTTGTTAGAAGCAATCTTGAGTGGTATCTTAAGAGAAACACACTTAGAAGTATACAGTCTTTCAATTATTACTTATGAAAGTAAAGTTTTAATTTCAAATGCTGGTTTTCCACAGTACTTACCCGTGCAAAGTCAAATGCATATCTATAAATAAGTTTAAAATTGGTAGGCTCATTTAATAAAGATCTCAAGTAATCCAGAGAATTTCTCAATTTTTCCGTAGTATCACATCTACAAGAAAAGCACAGAGTGAATTTAGAGTCTGCGTTCTTGTACAGATGTCTGACATTTTAGAAAAGAATCTCTAACGTGTATCCCCATCAATCTGTTGAAAATTTATGACTCTGTACAAAGGCATTTTTATGAGTTTGTCTGCATAAAATGCCTTGATTAAACCCACAGTGTGAAACGGATGTGGATAAAACAGCAAAGTCTTACACTGGTACTCTGATAGAAATTTGTTTGGCTTTGTAGAAAATTTACTCTCCAACAGATTAAACTAAGAGCTTGTCTACACATGGCAAACAACCAGCAAGCCACAGCAGGGAAACAATACTTATGTAGTTTTGCTGAAACTATAGAACTTCCTACACAGTTTTAGTGATTCTGTTCTGGAAGATAAGTCAAAACACAGTTCTTTCTCCAACTCTCTATAAAACATGTGATTACTCAACTACATTTATGATAATTATGCCACGAAGATAAGCTCTCAACTGGAGAAAGTAATTCTTAGAAAGAACATGACAATGCAGAGTCACAGAAAGGGATTGTATTATTTAGCATTTTAAACTACACATGTTCTAACAACATACCAGCATCTAATAGATAGGTCCAATCCAGTGACAAACATAGACGTCCTTGGGGACAGAAGCAATGTTGAACCTCATGACATTTGTTTTCTTGAGACTGCAGACATTTTAATCCAACTGTATTTAAATGTGCAGCTGTCAGGTTTCAAGTTGTCTCTAAGTGGCCATATCACCACAAATAGGACCAAAAATGTATGGCTTCTACTCCACAGTAGAGCTCTCTGCTTTAGGTGTTATGAATCAAAACATCAAACTGTGTTTTTTCTAAAAAAAAAAATGGGTTTACTATAACAAACTTAAGAGGTTTTTCAAAGCACTTACTGTAATGATGTCATTCCTTTTAACCATTCTTGTAATGTAAAGTAGCCCATGTTTTGCGCATCCAACTTCCATGCTAGTACAAGCATAACTACCTGTTTTAAAGAGAAAAAAAAATGAAGACTGAAAACAATTAACAAAGATCCACACATTTTTCAAATAACTGTTTAGTAGACTACAAATGCTTTACTCTTATCAATGGGATGTTCAGACCTTTGCTACACTATTTTAAAAGTTAAAAAACCTGAAAATGACAAACCTGTACATAATCCAAACAAAGAGAAGATAACAGTGCAAAGATACAGAGCGAACATCCACCCAAGTTACCAGTAGCCATCTTACTTCAAGTGGGCATGCACAGTCATCTAGTGAGCAGTGCAATGAGGAAGATGAGTTGGTGCAAAAGCTACAGAAAAGGTTTCTCAAAACAACTACAAAATTTAAGTACCAATTGGACGACAAGTTACATTTGACATTTGTTAAACTGTCATCTAGGTGAACATCAGTTGCAATCCATGAGCTCTGTGAAATCCAATTATTCTAAAGCTAATAATAATCCCACCTGAATTCAGCTACCCCAAGGTACCATCAGCCTACCTAGTTTTGCAGGTCTGAACATGCAGTATAATTCAAGCAGATGTAAAGCTAGGTGAACTAGCATTAACACACATCAAAATAAAGGCTGATACATGAATACTTTGGGTTTGTCCAAAAGGAAACAGAGTCCTTTTCACATCTCACACCGAAGACTGAAGCAATAAAGAATTCAGATAAAGTGATACCATAAGATCATTATCTTATTCAGGAATTTAAGAAACCACTTTTGATATATACATAGAAAAACTTGCAGGACAACTGATCCTGCAGACTAGAAGAAAAAATAATCAAGTCATATAAATTTGCAACTCAGTCATTAACTAGCTAATGTTAGTGTAGCTATATACAGTTTCTAATGCAAAATCGGAATACCTACTTACATTCCCAAATGTCTGCATAAATCTCAAGTGTTTATTATACAAATAAAGTCCAAACTTAGCAAATTATATCTTATATTTCCAGTAAATCATTCAAAACCACAATTCTCATTTTACTTAGTCAGAGATGATGCTTTATGAATCCTGCAAAAGATCAGACTTGCATATACATTTAAAGAGCAAAAATTAGGCACTAGGAAAAAGCCTGCAAAAGGCACAAATCTTCCCTTTTAAGTTTTATTTACTTCTATATATATATACATACATATAAATTATACATATGTAATTATATATATATTCCTTATTTGTGTTTTGAAATGGCATAATGGGAGTCCTAATATTGCTCACAATATTTCAAATCCTTTTCTCTCCCAGAAAACCCAAAGAAAACATTACTTTGCAGTTTTGTAGTTGCTACATTAAATCTCCAGTGTTGTCTCACCGTTTCAGAAAAGGCAACCATCAGCTTCTTTTTTTGTTGTTTGTTTTTTTTAAGATCTCTTTCTTTTTGGGCGGGGGGAGGGAAGTGAAAGAGAAGGGGTGGCAGCAAAGACAAATTGAGTTTTTACAGGTCAACAGTTTGGGGTTTAAAATAAAGGAGGTTGTTTCCAAATGTGTGTATAAACCTCCCTTGGTTTATATTTCTTTAATTTTTTTAAAAACTCCCCAAAATTTTTTAATTCTTGATGGAAAAACAAGAGATTAGACTGGCTCATATACATCATAAGAGATTAGGCATCTTTTGAATGGACTCTGAACTTACATTTTCTGGTTCAACTCCAATGTCTTCACAAAATTTCTCCATACCTTCTGGCCCCACAATGTCATCAGTGCCTGCAAACAAAATGCATTTTACTTATCTCTGAAAATTGAAACAGTCTGACCTTTACAGCACAAGAGAAATACAATCACACAGTACAACCTGAACATACAATTTTTTTCTGTTTGTTTTGACATGCAATAAATATTTCCACATTTACTGTCTGACACAGATACACTTAAATCTTTATCTCATCTTTGGAAACACAGACAGAAACACTGTAAAACAACTTTTCATTCCTGAAAATATCCTTTATTCTACCCATTTACTGAGATAATCTTGGAAGAGTAAATTAATTAAGATCTTTAAGAACACACAGACCATCCACGTAATATTACCACAGTTAAATGACTGGACGATGGCTAGTGAAACTCATTTCTTGGCTTGAATCTCTACTGTTATCATATGATGATATCACACAAAAATGTAGCTATACAGGATACAAGACATTTTCATTCCCAGAATTTCATTCCTTATTGTCTCATATACTATCTTTATATAATGTTATCTATGAAGAAGAGCCTAAAATAAAAATCTCATGCTCCTGTTTATTCATATTGCTATACCATGGCCATACATTATGTGTATTTTAGTAACTGCAGGGGGAAGGAAGACATGAATTACAGCTATTTCTTTGCCGACTTAAAAGGAGAAAAAAGATTCAAAATACAGATGTTATTGAAATACACTACTATTAAGACATGCTGTTGAATCAAGATATTTGTAACTTCTACAATACTCCATTGAAAAAATTATATAGGCATTAAGAATTGAACTGTGCAATTCTATTTTTTAAGTACATTTTAAGTATTTGGACTATTTTGTTAGAATTATTTTACTCCTGTTTAAAAGGGCTCATTTGGGAAAAAAACATTAGAGGCTGAAACGCGTACTTTCATCCAATATAAAGATCACATGCACAAGAAAAAGAGGTTTTATAAAGGGAAGATCAATCTACGTTTTTTTATTAGGTGACCTACTATTCTAGAAATAACACGGTTTAATTATATCTTTTCCCATCTTCTCATGACATCCTCTCACAGTTCTCTGAATGTACACAACAGTCTTTAAAAAGACTCATTCTGTAATGTAAAGACACACTAAGGAAAAAAAAAAACAAAGGCAGTGTCAACTCTCTGCATATAGCAAGAAGACTTATGAAGCAAGAACACAAAAGAGATTATTCTTTGAAAATTCATTTTTTAGAATGTTACTTAATACTATAAACAGAATCATACTCTGTTTTTCTCTGTTTTATCTTGATGTATGCATCCAATGGAAACCCAAAAGTTCTTTCACACACAGCCTTCCTTTCATCCCTTCTTTCAATGAAAGTCTTGACAAAAATGAGTTATCCCTGTTGCTAGAGTAAAAAAATAAATCAAACTGGTCAGAAAGGCAGAGAATCTAGCAGGGTAGATTTGGAATTAATTTGTCTGAATCTCCTTTCACAGACTGCCACAGACAAGTGATATCTCAAAGTATTTAATTTAGTTTATATAATTTTATTACATCAAATTAAGTCACTCTTCATTACGCGTAAGAAGTAGACAAAACAGAACAAGCCGTGAGCAACGTTATCCAAAACAGCATCAGAAAACTGCAAGATGACCTTATTTTCTTTGTCAATCACCTATTTAATCTCCTTTTGGTCTTTACAGTCACAAAATCATTTTTCCCTATACTTCAAGTTCTCCCCTTCAGAAAACCACATGTAAAAAAAATTAATACAATTACCAACTTCACTATTAAAGGATCATCTTTTGTGATTGCAGATCATAATTAACAATCCTAGAAGTAATGCCTGAAGAAAGTTCTCATACACAAGAGCAAGAATAAATAATTCAGTCTACCTTCCCTATACCTTGTGATGGAAAACTATATAAAGACGAGTACAGGATACTTGAATTTATTCACTTCTTTGCTTGAAACCATAAGCACCAGATTCCAAACTAATGTTTCTACCTTCCCTCCCCTTTTTTTTTTTTTTTTAATTGAAGACACACTTCTGAAACATAATTCTGTACTACTAAGCACTAACATGGCAGACAACAGAACTTCTAAAGCCAGAGAGGTAACAACATTTTGGACAGAAGTACGGCTTTAACTATAGATTTGAATAGTAAAGTATACATGTTCCAAAATATTTTAAGTTACACGCCTTCTGTGTTCTTTTTATAGAATAGAGACAAAGACAAAATTGCCCCTTGAACTCTTCAACTTCACGCCACACAGAACATAAGAAAAGCTTCTTTAAGACTATTACAAAAAAGCCTCTACACTCAGTCTTGGAAAAGCTCGGTTAACACAATTTTTATATTCCAATGTAGATTAAATTGTTATTAGGAGGAAAGTTGCATTTCACCCTTACCTGCGTATTCATAGAACCATTCTAAGCACCTCTTACTTGAAAAGACTTCTTCCTCTGCTTTTATTCTAGTTGAATCATATTTTCTATACATACTTTAAAAAAGAAAGAGAAACAAGTAATTAATTCATCAATTTTTTAAAAAGTCATCTTTTAGTCAACAGCCACTGTAAGCAGCAACGTTTTTCCTTTCATGAATCCGTTTACCCAACATTCTGTCCTCATATCCAGTCATTTGGGACACTGCTTAACAGAGTAAGAATCACTGAACCTAAATACTGCGTTTGCTCAGTCTGTCACATTTCAACTGATTCATAATCGTTATACATGTACATGAACTTCCCTGACAACAAATACAGTCAAGTTCAAATTCAACCCCAAACTGCTTTGTGTAAGTTCAAGTAAGACTTCTGCACACCATTAGCTACCACAATCAACTGATGGGCTGCAACTTGGCTGTGGGTCTAAACCCAGACTAATTCCATGTCACAGTCAACACAGGTCCTACCTGTAGGTGCACACATACCTCGTGCACTTTGAATTATTAACTAAGGAGAACTGCACATACTCTGTTTGCCTCTTCAAAAAATCCTGTAAAAGGCATAAAGGCCAAAACAGACATGACCCGCACTTACATTGCTCTAAAGCCAGTAGGTTGGTAACACAAAAGAACCACAGAGAACAGGTTACAGGTCCTCACTGACAATAACTCAAGGAACCTCATTCATCATGGGGTAAACAGTTATCTGAAAAGCTAGATCATAGCATCCCTTTCCCCCCCCACCCGAGATGACCAGCAAGGTAATGCTCTCCTTCGACAAGAAGTATAAGGAATTTTAACTACATTCAGGAAACAACACTGAAGTACTAGTCTCCTGAATTTAGTATCTGAAACACCTAAAGCATGGAAGGCACAGCAGATGTTGATGAGTTACCCCTGTTTAGACTTTTCTGAAACAGAGACAACATCATTTGTGCCTGTTAGAGGAAAGAGACTCAGCAGCCCAAGCAGTTGTTCACTGTTGCATTCTCTGATCCATTTCCACCACTCTGCAGTAGCTTGGCCTCAAAAAGGCTGAAAAGAGCCGAGCAACAAATGGCTTAGACTAGAGGAGGTAGCCAAGCATGGCTCTCTAAGTGTTCCAAGCATGCAGCCCTTCCTTTTATAGTGTCAAACCCTGCTGGGAGAAGGACAACAAAGTGGCTAATTGCTTCAAGGAGAATTCTGAAACAACTTGATGAAATTAATTTGGAGTTGATGTCATCACCATTTTGCCCTTCTAGAAAGACAGGTAAAAGCTATACTTACAAGCTTAGAGTACACTGATGCCACTATCCTCCATCTAGCTCGGCTATCAGCTCTGAGGAGCTGTAGCTAGAAGATAACCGCACACACATCATTCTGACAGTAATTCAAAGAACTACTTCATGTTTATTGTCATAGTTCCTTTAAAGCAACTAACCATTAGAAAAATAATACTAGTCAGAGCAAAATAATAAATCGCTAATTGGAAGACAAATACGAATGAGGCTCTTAAGAAATTTCAAGATGGAAAGAAAAATTAACACTGTACTGAAACACACGGATCTGCAACAAACTGAAACACTGCAGAAAAATGCCAGCCATACATGTCTCAAACACATATATTCACATACCCACAATTTGTGGGTTGTTTTTTGGGGTTTTTTGGGTTTTGTTTTTTTTTTTCATTTTGAAAACACTTTTTTCTATTTGAGTTACCTACTTTGTATAAGCTTTACTGCAGTTGCAAAGGAACAGGATGACAGCACTGCCCAGTAAGTAAACAACTAAGCCAGAAGGTAGAAGTCAGAGTTGGAACAATTCCTTTTTTTTTTTTTTTTTAAACACACGTCTGATAACTTAACATTCTCATACTTGCAGAATGAACCATGATTATGAAAGGCCTATCCAATATTTTTTAGGCTATTCTGAATTCAGAGGAATCAAAAAAATGTCTTGAGACAAAGAAAGGAGGCATTCTGCCACTTTGGCAAAAGTCTAATTATTCAGTGTCCCTTTTTTGTAGCAAAGAAACGTGACAAACTCCAACTGGAATACCAAGTTGAAAATTGATTGTAGTAGGAGCTAGTCAACATCTTTATTCTATTCTATTTACTCAAGAAGTCTGTAAGAGCACTGCTGGGACCTAGGACATGCAAAGCTAATGTGGTTCCCAAAGACAGACATTCATCACAAGACTCAATGTTTTTTCTTACAAAGGGATGATAACCAAGTGCCTCGCTCTGCTTGTTCACATAACTCACCAATACACATTAGCTGTCAGTATGTGAACAGTGGATTTGGGAAGGAACCTTCAAGAAACAAGTTTATTGACAGAGCTCTAGGTCATCCAAGGTATTTCAGAAAAAAAGATTCCTGCATCTACAAGTGGCAGAGCTAAATACTGGAACCTGAACCAAGACACCAATGACAGCAGTATGTGTAAGAGGAATGGTGAACGAGAACAGAAAAATCCAGCCCTTTTTATACATTCACTGCATCTACGCATAGCAAGTTTTCATAGGACTGATACGGGACTGAGAGTCATTTGTTGTGCTTAAGGCTAAGGTCATTGTTTAGGAACTGCAGGAAACAACAATATTCATTAGTAAGTCCATGTGCCCATCATGTGGCCAAGTAACTCCAAGCAAAATGCCTTGGCCTCAAACTTATTGTTCAAAAAGCTCAATATCTGACCACTGGAGTTTGATTTTTGAGAAACTAGAACTGATTACAGATCTTCCAACTTGTGCTGGTAAGAGAAATTACTTCAAAAATTCAGAAAATAAAATCAGAAAGGATATAATCTTGAGCTATCCCAGTCTCTGCTACAAGCTAATTAGTCAGACATTCATTCATTAAAAGTGCAGGTGACACCGTATCACATTTGTAATGTAAACAGACTATGCATGGCCAGAAGTATAAAACCATGCAACAAAAATGGCTGGATGAATCTCAGATGCCTTTCTCTCAACCTAAAAGGAACTAATAGCAGATCACATATTCTGCAAGACAAGCATCACTTGAAAAGGAATAGGACAGAAACAAGTAACACCAATGCAGACCCGGTATTAGTGATCCCTCATGTATAAAGATGAAGCCTGTTCTCTCCCTGCTTACTCCAAACACCAAATGAGTTTCTCCCCCCAGTGCAGCCAAACCAGCTAGGTCTATTAGCAAGAGACTCCTAATCCCTGCAGTGCTTGGTGAAGCAAGATGAGCAAGGAGATACAAGCAAGTGAGTAGACAAGTATCTGAGATTACAGCCTAGGACAACTCGGTGCAATTATCACAGCAAGCCCAAAATGGCAGCACAGGGTAAAGGTGATTCCAAAGACTGACCTCTGAACTATCATTAATACCAATGGGATTTTCTCAAGAACGTATGTGCAGAGGATAAAAACACAAACTGCCAGAGACCTCTGTCATCCGCTTTGTGTCTTAGAATATTTCTCATATCTTTGGAACTTCTCTGTACATACTGCAAGATGATGTGCCTTGTCTTTGTGCTAAGGACAGTGTCTCCTGCTACGCAGACAAATACAAACTGCCGGAGTGCACAGGGTAGATATCCGAATACATCGGGAGCACCAAACATCTACTGAACAGGTAAGAGTTTCAAACAGCAAGTCCTCAACAGCTCGCAGCTTCCTCAAGATGACCAGCACCAGTACCTTCAAAGAGACGCACAACCATTATGCTGACCATGTTACAGTTTGGCAATTTGCTTATGCGTTGATGGTCCATAAGAGGAACCTGCAGAGTTTCAGTCACACGCCAGAAGCGAAAGAATGTATTGCTCAGAGTCTGGAGGAGAAGGAAAAAAAAAAAAAAAAGAGGAGGAGAAAAAAAAAAAAAAAGTAAAACCCCTACAGACATGTTCCATAAAGGAAGGGCCAATGAGTATACCTGGTACTTCTGATACCAAAATTTTTACCACTGTCAGAGAATGCTGACACTGGAACGGGATTGCTAAAGGGTGTTTTCTCTATCATCAGAACTAGAAAGGTGCGTGCAGAACTTTTTCCCAGAGTGTCTGCTATACCTCTCACTACTGGACAACAGCAAACTCCAAGCCTTTGCGTTTAGAATTACCCTTCCATTTCTGAACCCTGACACGTTACCCATCAGGAACAGCAAGTTAAAAAAAAATTACCTATGGGCAAAGAGTATGTGTCTCAGATGAGATACATATGCAGGCACAATGACTCAGAAAAATCTTTACTTGAAAAATAATAGTTTTTATTAGTTTAGCATGACACTGTCAGTGGCAGGACAGTGACAGCAGACTTCAAAAAATGTTTCTTTATATTATAACCAATATCCCCTTAAGGAGCATTTAGCTTTTTCTTTTTTATTATCTCTTTCTAACAGCCATTTTACCAACTAGAGAGAGTAAAGAATGTGGGACAGGGCAGGGAAAATGCAACATGAGATTATCCTGCCTAAATTTTGCAAAAGTGATATCAACTACTTAATGACATTTAAATGAAGTTATTTTCTCAGAAATGCTTGCATCTCCATCACGACCTAATAGCTGACTCATAACATCCATTTTTAAACTTATCTTTGAAATATTCTCATGAGCTAGGGAATTGTAATATCCCTGCAATAAAGATAAGACAATGTAGTTTATAATTGGAAGTGCTATAGGTAGATGTAAACAAACTAATTAAAAAACCCGAGTATCTAGGCCTTTTATGTTTCTTTAAATACACGATCATCCTTATCTTTTCCAGATTATTTTCCTCCATTCATAACTGATTTGGTGGGAAAGCAAAAGCACAAAAATTCCATCCAGCTATTATGGGGTGACTAGGCAAGTCATCGTAAGAGTACCTGGTCACTGCCAACAAAAAGAACAAGGTCACAGTAACTCTCTTCAGTCTACTACTGCAGTCTTCAAAGTTGGGTATCTACTCCTGCTCTGAGCATGCTTCAACTCTACTGGAATTTGTTAGAGCTCCACCTACCACAGCAGCAACTCTGGGCTGTGCAGCTCCAGAACATTCAAACCGAGATCAGCAAAAGCATGGAGTTTAGGTCACACAAAACATTCTCTTGATTGTGGAAGCTCATTTAAGGGCAAAAAAAAAAAAAAAGAAAAAGAAAAAGATAAGAAAAAAAGGGTACAGTTTATTATGGTAAGTCAAAAGTTAACCCCTCATGAAGATTTACAGCCTGCTCATTTCAGATGGTCAGTGTTTACTGAATGAAAACACTAAGAAATTTACCAACAGTAGCTTTGTTTCTATGCAGCCAGAACTTATTCAAAGCCTTTACCTCATTTTATTTGAGCTTCGAACTGAGTAGCTAACTGCTTTCAGATTATTTATATTTTGAAAGATGCAAACTTTTGATTGAAGAAGATGCCCCCTGCTACTTCCATTAATTATAATTAATTAATTTAACATTTTGGCTGAAAATTTTCATCAGTGCAACACAATGAAAGTATTTTTATAAAGTCGTACCTATTCATTCACAATTATGATTTTAGCAATAGTTTCATAAATACTGTACTAGAAACAAGGGGGGACGGGGAGAGACGTTTTACAATTTGCAAGGCATGACAAAGACTGTCTAAAGCAACCCTCAGGACAAATTTACTTGACTGGTAAGTTTTATGAGTGAACATGTCTTATCTCTCCCTATTTATAGACTTACAATCATCTCAACTTTTAAATCAATGTTTTGAACTTCATCAGGCTTACTTAAGAAGCAGTATGTATAACAGCATGCATGCCGATAGTCACATCTCCAATTTAAGTTTCTTCAGAACTATTAAGTGAAGTTCACTGAAAAGGTGTAGAAACAGGGAAAATTACACCTGTGTGTACTTGAAAAATCTCTAGTCGAGGAATAAGGTCTAGACATCTATGACAGTTGGTAACACAGGCTGTCTGCGTGGGGCAGGACCAAACCAGTTAGTAAACGACAACAGAATAAAAAAAACCCTCTCAACAGTAAAGGTTTTGAAAACTTCCAAGGTTAGTACGCTCCCATTTTACCTTCCCATGTTAATAATAGTGTTGACTGCGTTTTCAAAACTTATGTTTTTCCACGATAGAGTATGGAGCTTACTACTCAATAAAGAAAATACATTTTTCATGTTAATAGGCCCTTATGTGGTCCGTACACACATCCAGGATTAATTAGACTCTAGATCTAATTGCTTGAAAACATAACTTCCAGGAAAGCAGATAAATATTCTAGTTTTCTTCCCTCTAAGGTCCAAATATCCATTACTGTAAGATTTTTGCCCTCAGCATGATTCTGGAATAAGGAGTAGAATTATTTTTTAAATAAGACTATCAGAAAGAAGAGAAGACATTATGTTATACAGCTCATTTTTCCCTAAGGAAAAAACCACTTTTTGGCTAGAGATTGTGTAACAAATACACAGCATTAGATAATTACACAGCGAGGACTATATTCTTACCTAGCAAGTATCTTTACATGAAACTTGCTTTACCTTTCGTAAGACCCTTAACACAGTGATGGAAGAGCAACGTACAGAAAATGTATTTTTAACTCCAATTTGAGAATACCCTATACTGTGAGAGTTGTAAGTACAATAAAGTCAAGACTGTCATACTGAGAGGAAAATACAAACTAAGCCTTCAAGTCGTTATGTTCTGGTGAGTGTGTGCTAAACCGTTTACTTCCAATAGCTATTCTTTAAGACAGGATAAATCTTACTGTGATCCAGAAATGAATACATCGAGTTCTTTTCATTATACATCATCTGGTATAAAAATTCCCTCCCATTAAAACACTGCATTCATGGTTCAAGGTGACGTTATGAACATTAATTAACAGAATTCAAGCTCTTATTATATAAGGATGGGATGCTAAAGAACATGTTTGGAACCTGTATTTTCCATAATCAGTCTATGCATGAGATCAGTATTTCCAAATAACTTCACTAACAACTAGATTTGTTCCTATAAATGCTTTTCCTCAATAGCCAATGTCATTATTCCACTAATCCTTCCAAGATGAGGCTGTATCCCTAACAGCCTGGAACTGAGGGTGAAGGATATTACAAGCTCCCTGGTATCACACGTGTTTAAGTTTATAAGTTTAGAAATCACCTTCTCTTTCAGCAGAGCCCTGCTGAAATAAACTTTCTGGAAAGAATACATATCTCAAAAATGTTACTATCATAGTTGAAGAGATTATAGGAACACACCGCAAATAGCAAAGACTGAAAATATCACCCAAGAAAACTATCCACATAAGGATTAAAAAAAAAAAAAAATTTCCTTTGTATGGACAAACCAGGAGGAATCATCAACATTTGGTCTCAGCTGTGATAACACCATTAATGATGACACTCCTTTGATAACCTTCAGACTACTACCTAACATTTTTGCACTGGAAGCAAACAGGAGACTTACAATTACTGAATTTATTTGTTAATGTTGCCCCTATAAGTTTGCCACTGTAACTGAAAAACATGCAAAACTTAATGATTCCATAAGCATTTGAAGTGACAAATCACCTCTGTTAGGAAATACAGTCTCCTCCAGAGAGCACACATTGTATTTTTTCATTGAAAGTAGACATTCAAGAACAGACACTGACTACCTTTTTTCCTAATACAGAATCCACACAGGCTAATGTCCCTTGAAGGCTTATCCTGAGTTACCAGTACACAGCTTCTAGGAAGTCTGCCTCTAAAACAGAAGCAATGGTAAAGAACTGGACCTAGAAGCCCCTTATTCCATAAACTGGCACTGCACTATCCATACTGTTTTTATTGTATACAGCATTCTCTGCATACAATGTAAGAGGAAATGACTTTGCAAATGACTAGATCTGCTACAGTACGCTGCTGTAGAAGTTTCTGATTTCAGATTGATTTCTGCTTGACAAACTGAGATGTCTGACCTCCATGACCAAACATGACAGGCATGAGCTCCGCCTGACAGTCAAGCATGGAAGTAGGAGACGACCTGCTCTTTGTCTAACTTGTTCAAAGAAGGTTACAGAGGCATAAGCCAAATTTGAAGAAATCCTTCCTTGAAAGAAAATAGAGCTCCAAGACTGAGCTGAATGTTCAGCAAATGATTTCATATTGCCAGTCATACTGAAATAAAAACTGTTTTCTTGAAGACCAAAACAAAAGAAACGTATACACTGGGAAGCAAAGAAAGCCCAAAAACCTTTAGAAGTTAAGAAGGAAGACAGATGAAAATTGGAACCACATCAGAGAAGGATATTCCCCTGTGGCCCATGACTGGCAGATCTGGTTTCACCTCCACTTCTAAAAGCAGGCTAAGGTCTTCCTTTTAATAAAGCCTTACATGGCAGTAGAACGAAGACAAGATCCATTAGTTACAAACTGAAAGGCAGATACAAAAAAAAAAATCCTTCAAATTATGCTTTCAAAAAGCTCTTAAATTGTTATATATATATATATATACACACTACTGATAGAGTAAGAAATCAGTTTCTCATAATTTTCTTATTTGAATTACACAAATCGGTATCTCCTACTTACAGACAACCTCACTTTCTAGGGGTTTAGGGCTGTTCTGCTTTACCATCAGTGCCTTGGCAAAGGGAGGTAAAGTTAAATTTCGTGAACCTTTCTACTGAGATTCTAGAAACATTCTGTCCTCATTTCACTTCCATATTGTATGCATATCTGAATAAGCTGTAATGTCTTCTTATCAACTATTTACCTTTTATATTTTATTATTTCTGAAAAGCAACAAAAAATATTAAGGACATGTACTACTTTTTTGCTCTTGCTCGTGTTACATATGCAAAACAATGAAAGGGAGAGTTGAAATCTCTTTCTTCTTCTGCATCAACAGATCATTAAATAAAATTCCAGTGCAGCTACAGTTGTGCAACCCTATTAAACACAATGGAGTTACAGAGGCATAACCAGAGGCTTAATTTGGCTACCAGCATTTTTCTTACTCATGCCAGAGAACAAAAAGGAAAGCACCCAGCCTGATTTCAGGCTGACAGTTAAGAGAGAAATGCATCTTTTCACCTTCCTGAAGATACTTGTTACGGAAGCATGTGTTTTCTGAGTCACCGGTAATACATGAATGTAATAGAGCTCAAATTGTACTGACGGACACAGTGGCAACCAAACTTTCTGGCTGTATACGTCACTTTTCGACGTCAGGACAGTCCTGCACCTATCATGCAGGAGGGTACAGTCCTGTACTCCCACAAGTTCTGAATTTAGTGCACATAAATAGTGACTATCTTGCACACAAGGAGCACATTCAATTGTTTCTGAATGACTGAGGCTGACTGAACATACACATACTGAAAATCCAACACTTGCAGAAGCCTCACCTATGCAACACCTATGCCAAAAGAACACACTGCTTGTGCACACAGTTATAACCCACTTGCACTTCTGTTGCCCAGACGGAAGTTGAGCAGCACCACCTCAATCACCAGTCCACTGCTGGCCATCACCTTGCCTGCACAATCTTCACCTTTCCCTTACAAGACCAGCATCAAATCACAACACGACAGGGAGAGACTAGCAGGACTTCAAGTAAGGAGCGAGTGGGCTACAACTGCATTCACTTTTCTGACAGCCTGCAGATTGAGAATGCCTAATCCAGATCTTACACATGTATACAGGAAGATATTACTGTATCTCTTAGAAGTTGTTTTTGAACAAACAAGTATGTCTATTTTGACAGCTGGCAAACTAGAGCAAGGAGAAGTTCCCTACAAGCTTCTTGTATGACTAGAAAATGGTGAGATGCAAACTGACCCTAGATGTGCTTATCAATGTCCCACAGTTCAATCACAGGCTATGGTTCCACATTGAGAAACCAAGCAAATTTGAATACCATTTCCATTAGTAATTAAAAACATGATCATATCAGCTATTCAACTTTAGATATTCCATCAGTCTTAGCTCATGGTAAGATGACATACCCATCATGTCTACTTTTCTTAGCAGATAAATCATCTCCTGCTGCAGGTCTCCTCTTTTTCCTTGGAGGCATCACTTTACTAAAGCAGTCTGATGAACTGCAAGACCGGAGACTTCCTACAGAGGGAATTAAAAACACCAGTACAAGAAATGAAACTGTTGCAGACCAGTTAAACTCTGTCCACTAATAGGCATATTACAAAGGGAAGGGAAGGGAGGAAGTTAGTGGATTTAAAAATTACAAAAGAAATGGTCTCCTTTCAATAGCGAAATCCATCTCACTTTTACATGGTGCTCCATGACCAGCTTTCAGTTAAGGCCAAAAGTACTATACCAAAATGTACAGTAGTGCTAGTGCTACTTCAGTCCAACAAAAGGCAAGAACTGAGACTATCCTGAAGAAGTATTTAAGTCCTCAAAAAGGCATCCTTATTTTTAGTCATTTATTCAAATCAGAACTTCTAAGAGTTGTTCATTACTTTTGGAAATACATATGTGACTCAAAAACTAGAGCACCTACCTCTAGAAAACAGAACCTTTTTCTTTTTAAGCCCCAAGTTTTTTGTGATACAGAGAGCAAGGGGTAGGAAAGGTTTTGTTTGTTTGCTCTTTGGTTTTGTTTTTTCTGTTTGTTTTCTTTCTTCTTTTGGGGGACGGACGGACAGACAGGAAGAGACATTCAGCAACCACTAGGGGAAAAAATAAGTGGCTTGCTGTATCATTTGGACTGGATAGTTCTCAAAGAATGAAGGTCCCCAAGTAGGAAACAACCAATTCAAGACACTGATGCCAATCAAGTGGCAGTCTTTCCCTCCCCTTCTCTCAGCTACATACTCTTATGTCTCTGGTGACTCTTCAGTGTGCCAATCCAGTTCACCAAACCTGTAGATAATTAACCCAAGCAAAAAAGAATAACAACTTTCTGTACATTAGCACAAGAAAGAGCACAGGACCAGCCCTTTTGACCACAGCAAGTCGTTAAATTGCCTTTGCTGTCTCATGAAAACAGTAGGCTAACACTCCAGGCAAAATTTTGTCCGACTTTTATGTGCTGAAGACCATATGGACACCTGAGAAAAGCGTGTCTAAGAGCAGCTCAAAGAGCTATCAAAGGTCTAAGTGTTACACAGAGAATTTTAAAAGGAAAGGAAGAGAGAGGTGAGGTATAAAAATCCAGACACAAAGCGATGCCAAAGAAACTTGCAAGAAAATATGAAGAACTCCAGCATGCCTAAGCTACCTTCTCTTAGCTTCAACAGCATCCAAGTTTAGCTATGCTTTATTAAGACGCCCACAAAATCTTTTCTTTTAAATCACAGCACAGAAGCAAGCAATAAAACTTGGACTACTTTTTGACACCAAGGGAGCAGACTGAAATCAGAGGCCCAATTCCCAACAAATACTAACGGCAATCTTTTGCTTACCTATTCTTCGTATCTTTGAAAGTCTCTCTCCTGTTATAGGAGAAACACATGTAAGGAATCTTACAGCCTCACAGGCTTTGCTACATGTATTTTATTTTAAACATGCACTGAAACTATTACGCATATCAAAGTATGGATTCTTCTAGTATCAGGCAAGATGTTCAAACCAGCTTTTACATCAAGATGAACTAATTTGGTTTCAACTAATAAAGCTTTTGCACTTAGTATGCCTTCTTTGGTCTTACCTCTCTATTAGTTTCTATTAAGAAGAAAATTATTCTCTCCAGTTCAAGAAATACTCTTTCCAATTCAAAAATTCTTCCTATATATTCCTTTTTCTATTTTTTTTTTTTTACCCTGAAGCTCCCCCACCCTAGCATCCTCCCAGGAAAGTATGGCCATACCTACACTATCTTTTAGAAAGACAGTTTTAAGTATATTGCAAATTCAAATTATAATTTAACTACTTATAAAAAAAACCCCTTCCAAGCATTATACTCCATAAACTACTATTACATGAAAAAAATCAGAAGAATATACTTCTAGAAGCACTGTCCAGAATAAGTTACAAAACAAAATTAACAATAATAATATTTATCTTCTTCTCACCAATATCAGATATATTTGAAACAGGTAAGCCAGAGACCATCAGAAACTCACAGTACACCTGATGCATTTTACTACCCAGATTAAAGAAGCTAAGGAACCTGAACTGCTGAATGTCATTTGTTCCATCTGATTATGCCTGCAAATTAATGACACTGCAAAATTGTATTCCCATAAGTTATTGAAAGTGTGATGCTTTATGGCTTTTTAGATCAAGTTTCCAAAGACTCTGCCAGTAAGTATTTTTTTAAAACCTACACAAAGTAAAAACACTTAAGATGACAGCAGAACTTAACAGATGGCTAGACACAGCCAACAGACTCAGACACACACTGAACTTAATAAATGAAAACGTCTGCTAATGAACACCTTGCTTCAGAAAATACGTAGGTATTTGAGAACAACCTGTAGCTATCTCATTGCTTTGAGAGCAATTTGATTGTTTTTAAATGCCTTTCTATTAAAAAAAAAAAAATTATTTATGATGGCCACAGCCATTGGATGCTGGTAAAATGCAAGAAAAACCACCAGCCCCCCCACTGGGTTTGTCCAGTTTACTGGTTATTTGATTGGGAAAAGAAATATGAAAGGCCTCTGTGAAAAGAGAAGCATAGCAAAAGATGAAAATAAAATAAATAAAAATAAAGTAAAAATAAAAACAGTTCTAGAACAGGAAAATAATTTTGTCAGATCTGCAACCCCATACAAACCAAAGAATTTAACCCATGAATTCCTGCTTGAAGTCTTTTCCTCATTAAATGATTGGACATTTTTAGGAAGATCACTGAATTTGTTTTAAAGGCTTAAACTGAGAACAGAATTCACCATAACCCAATTTCTCCAATGACTCATGAAAAACTTGTACCCTTTCTTGGTTTGAATGTATCTAGTTGCAGCTCTCAAACTGACAGAAAAGGGAAGAGAGAGCTCAGAAATTGGTAAGTGGCTATTAAACACACATGTACACCCCCCTCACGCACAAACACACGCACACAGAGACACCAGGTGGACAAACATATTGTACATGCTTTCAGAGATTTAACATCTTAATAACTGAGGTTTGGACCAAGTCTTCACTATGTTTTAACTGTTGAATGACCTCTAAATTACTGAAAAACACAGTACAAGAATGTTACTTTAAAAATATTTCCTTTTGTTACTAGAATCAGTATACTGAATTTGAAGGGCAGTTATAATTCCCCTGTAACAAACTCTGAAAGTTAAACCAGCAGAGTATTTCTATCTTTTATTTCCATCTAAAGCTAAAAACTATCAGAGTTTGGGGGTTTTTGTTTAAATTCTTGCAATTTTTTATTTTACAGTATAGCTCACTAAGTAGCATCAATGTTAACCTTTCCTACACAGAGCTTTCTAATTCGAAATGTAATTTCTAGGTCTAGCCTTTCACAGCGAATTTCACTTCTCAAAGGTCTGATATCTGCAAATGAACATGCAGCTCCCTCTGACTTCATGCAAAGTTTGACAGGAACTTTACTTACCAAGTGCAGCTTCTCTGATGTGATTATCTTCAAAGTTTCTTACTCCTGGGTCTCAACTCAAGATTGGCAGAACCCTCCTAGTTCTCACTGTTTTTTTGAACACTTGAAGCTAGCATTTGCAAGGTAGAGCCTCCAAATGGCTGCTGAATAGGCCACGATCAGCCAAAAGCCTGCCGAGTATAAATGTTGTTTGCCAAACGTTCTATTCAGTACTTCCAAATTTGCAGGAGACAAAGCTACCAAAAGGAAATATCAACTCAAGAGCTAAAATTCACCCTAAGAAATTTAAAACAATATGCAAGATTATCACAAGGAAGGGACGCTCCTAGAATAGGAACAAAACCAGAACAAACAAAAAAGAAAAAACAGAGGTCAATAAATAAGAATTCTACAAGCTGTGTCCCTACAGAAGTGATTTACAAACATGTAATTTTCACCTTCTGTCTAGATAATGCCTGTGAATAATCCTGCTCTTCTGATGCTTAAGTAGAGGGATGTTTCAAAGGGAAAATAATTAGAAACTGTGAATGCTGAAGCAATTGGAAAGATATTGCTGCTTGCTTAATGATGCAACAAGACCACCACAAGCACAGTTAACAATCATCATTTTTCAGATACAAGATGAGAAAACTAAGATACTCATCAAAACATCAAACAACTTGCAATCTTGTTGTAAAAGGAAAAAACATCTTCTCTATCTTCAATTCCACACTACAGAATTGCTTTGGACTCAAGAGGGTTTTCTTCTCTAAAACAACAAAAAAATAGTAGAGGCAAAAGTAATTTCCCCCCCCCACAAGCTTCGAGAACAGCAATGAAGCCTTGTTTTTGTTGAAGACATTACTTCATTCTTTTAAACAAGCCAGGTGACAACAGGAAGTGTACTTTTACTTTTAAAGACATTTTAGTCTGGATAGGTAAATAAGTCACAATTTAATAACCAAATCATGACTTTAAGCTATTAACAAGTTGCTAGATTTGTAGTTATGACATAAAAAACCCTATTATTTTAAGTTCTAGAGGGAGAGTTTTCCAAGTTAATGCATATACATACCAGAAGAAAAAGAAATTGTTTGCAGAATTTGAATGCCTGCTTTTCTTACCCCTACAACCAGCTGAAAAGGCAAAGGCCCATGACACATTTATAGCCTACTTTATTTTTTAGATATATATGCACACTGAATGCTAACACATTTTATGAGACTGTAATCATTACAGGAGACTGGAATTTTGAAGCGAGGTCCATCTTAGCTCCCAAATCACTGAAGTAATTTTGAAACTGCCACCCTCTAGCTCTTAGATATTTAAGACCTGGTTCCAGAAGAGAAATCTGGCTAATACTTAGAAAAGATATAATTTGCTTAAAGTAATTTAGATGTCCAGTACATTTATTGTTAGCTCAGAAACAACCGATTTGAAATAAATGTAATATGCACTAAAAGCTCATTATAACTATTAACCTAAAACTGAAATATTCATTTTTTTCAAATAGCTTTTAGAAATCTCAACCAAGCTTAGATATGCATTTATTGACTCATCCCAAAAGCAGGGCCCACAACGTGATAACATTAATCAGGATAGTTATGTCAGAAAACAAATAGTAATCTTTAAGGATAAGGCTTGCTCCAGAAGATGCAGAGTGAAACAAAACAAAACAAATCCTCGAAACTAAAAAAAAAAAAAAAAAAAAACCCCAAAAAAAAAAAAAAAAAAAAAAAAAAAAAATCATCTTTAGATGGGTTTGGCAACACTCAAAGAATCTTTTGCGACAGAGTTATCAACATGACTTTCAAATGAGTTCTGGACATAGAATCTCAAATTCATGTATCTATGCAGTTCTATAAATTGCATAACAAAATTAATAGGTCTTGACACTTCTTACTATGCAGTCAGTAACACTGAAATAGAAGTTCCAAAAATTTAGGCACATCGAAATCACACAATTTGCACAAGTAATTCTTTTTAGATTTACATAAGGCTCTCTAGTAAGATGTTTCAGAAGTGTCAAGTCCCATACAAAATGGACACGGGAGACTTCGCTGTACTATATTCATAATTGCAAAAATAGCTCCTTGCATGTGTATTTCTCCTCATATGAGGAAAACCAAGCACACGTTTCGACCGAATTCGCCTGGAAGTTATGCAGACACTGGGGATTCATCTTTTTTTACAAGGAGACATAAAACAGGGTAGAAGTAAGAAATACTGGAATGAAATCTGGAGATGAGGAGCCTGCCAGTATCAACCTCTACTTTCAGTTCTCATTTCATACTTGTTCCTGATTTGAAAGGTTCTTTTACAACCATTGTAAAAAATTACACTCTACTGGGATTTTGTGCCCAAACTCATTCAACGGGCTTTTGAAACAGCTTAATCCAAACAACACAATGCAGGCAATAGGATAGCCATGAGTGTCAGTATAAAAAAAGTTCATCAAACCCAGTAACATGCTCAAACACCTTCCACTAGAGATAATGAGAGCTCTGAGGCTAATTTCTTATACTGACCTTTATGACAGAAGCGCTAGGCAAGAGATAAGACAAATTCCAAATACCTTAAGCATGCCTGCTTGTCATGATTGATTACTGACAAAAGGGGACTACCTCAATGCTTCACAACAGCTTTTTGTGATCAAAAGCAAACAAAGATTATGGAATGTATTTTCATAATCATGAAATCAGTATGCATCTGTGTTTGAGCACCTGCATCAATAAGGGGAAAATTCCAAGTCTCCATCAGGAGATGGAAGAAGACATCAGTTCTAACATATGGACAATAAAACCTCTGACTGACTTGAACTACCTGCCTCAATCTCTTTTGCAGAGGTTTTTCATTTACGTGATCAGTTCATTTCAAGTATCAAATCCCTAACCACACTGAAGGAAAATATTTGATAGAAGCCTTTTGTGGCTAGGGTAAGATAGTTCAACTATGAAACAAAGTCACCTCTCACAGTATGGAGGAGGGTACATAAGCCCTAAGTGAGCTCTGTCCAACCCCTAATAATGCAGTCCTATGCATCTGTTCGCATTTGTCTCAGCTAAGAGTGCTAGATTTACAAGTGCGTCCTAGAAATCTCCAGGGGGAGCTGACAGCTCTCTCCACTTTCTTAAGTGCTCAAGGTAACATCAGCAAACACAGCCAGCACCTCAGAACAGAGAAAAACTTTGAGACAGATGGTAGGAGAGATATGGTCAGTTTTAAAGAACAGTTTTGCTGAGTGATCAGGGCTTGAAGCCAGTAAGTTATTTTCCTTCCTCCTTACGTATCATGCCTGAAACACAGAAAGGAAGGAAGAAAAAGAAATCAAGGAAGACACCACCTCATAAATAACAAGCACAAAAGGAGGTAACAAATGTTGCAAGATATCAAGTCACAAAGCACAAATGCTGATGAATCAAGAACGGCAGCAAGCTAGTACCAGGCATCCGAGATGAAGGCCTCGAAAAACGATGACATTTTATTGAACAGAAAACAGATTTGGACTAATAAGTAGCCCTTAGACACTGACTGAGAGTCTGCACAAGAAACAGGAACAACCTGCATCAAAACCACTCAAGAAAAAAGCTGGGTTGTTTGGAGCACAGCATTTAAACTCGGTCACAGGCATCACAATAGCCACAAGAGGTCTTGCATCTGCTTTGTTCTCACTCATGCTCTTTCAAGAGTCAAAACACTGTAAGAACATGGATATACTGCTAGTCTAATGGGTTGAGTCCAAGGAGTGAGAGAAATTTTTCATGAAGTCTTCTAAAGTACTTACACTAACAAACAGGCTGAAACCTGTGTGAGTCCTTCACAACTGCATAAATTAAAAGCGTGAACATTTTGAAGAAAACTTTAAAAAATCCTGGCACTTGTTTTCTGAAACTCCTTTAGCTTTCTAAAACATAATTTTCAATGATGTTAGAGAGACTTCTTCGAGGGAGCATGTTTAAATTGTTTCAATCTATTTCTACTACATCCCTATTAAATACCTGTCTGGTGATCGTCTTGACCAACGTCCTCTGTCAGATTCTGCAAGAGAGTAGGAACGATACAGTTAAACAAGATTGTTATCTTCATTGTTCACTTTTGTTTTTAACCTTTATTTGATATTAATATTCATCTTAATTACTTAAGGAGCATCTAGCTAAGACTGCAGAGCCTTTGTGTTTTCAGTTCATATTTACCTAAAAAGTTACCCTTGCAAATTTATCTGAAAAGTTCAAGGATCATCTTTAAATAATTTGAAAAATATTTTTGATTTTATCAAAAACATATCAAACTATGTTTCAAGAGAGGAAATAAATACCCATTGGATGGGGAATTTTGCATTGATATATCGAACAATTCCATTGATAAATGCAGCATTAGAAAGACTGAATTTACCATTTACCACAGAAATGGCTTTGCTTAAGGAGAAACACACATACGTGTTCTAAAGAAAACTGATTAAAACCCAACGGAAATCTTGGAAATTAGTTACCCCCTTTTTTAGGCAGTGTCTTTTCCACTAAATTTGCAGTGTACAAACAGAAGCCATATTGGCATTTCCAGCTATGGTTGCAATAAAACATGCAAATGCACAGCAAACAAGCAGGAACAGTCTTCAAAAAAATCTTGTTTCACTCTTTGCATGGTTGTAAGAAGACAGCTTGCTCATTCAATACGTTTTCCACAAGAACTGTAAGAAATTGGATAACGATGATGATTACCATTATTTGATATATCTAGGAAAGCTTCTTCTATGGAGACAACATCTAAATCCAATGTTGCAGTGAACAGTGCTCAAACTCCACTCTGACCCCCGGAGTATAATCTTTCACCTTTTACTAATACTGCTTATCTCTTAATGGATTCAAAACCAACAGCCTCTCACACAAAAAGGCAGTCATAGCTTTTAAAAGTGTAATCACTTAACGATTTCAATCACAAAACATTCTGGACTAAAGCCCTAGCTATTCTGCTAAGAGAAAATGGCAAGTCATTACCAGCCTATTGAGGGTGTGGTAAATCTTGTGAATATTTGCCAGTGTTGATAGGTGAGAATTCAGTTGAAAATCTAGAGGGGGAAAAAAACAACAAAAAAAAAAAGTTTTAAGCTCTCTGGTTTCCAGCTGTAGCAACCGATCTTCATATGTTCTGGTCGTTTAATAAAATCATCACACAACTATAAAATAAAAGCCATCTCAACACTTTTTCAGCATCAACATTTTCAACACCAAGTGGAATCAGTGAAATCTGCAAAAGATATCCTACATATGCATTTTTCTTAAGGCATGGATGACCATCAGTAAAATAGAACTATAGCTAATTATAGCTAAATACAAAATTATATTAAAAAAATAAATATTTAAAACTTTTTTCCTTTAAATTGGGAATCATAATTTCCATGCTACCCAGTCCTTCTGTTTCATCTATTACAAAACCAATTTAAGTACCATGTAACATTCTAAAATTACTACTAAAAATGCTAGTTTTTAAAAAAGATAAATTTTATTAATACACATGCACTTGCCTTTATACTAATTTCCTTGCAAAACTAAGTGACTGGAATACACTTACAGAGTTGAAACATGACTTTTGTAAAACGAACCAAAGGTCACAATACAGCAGCTGTTAAGACCAGCGCCAATAAAACCGAAAATAAAATATTCTGACACTTCATGAAAGAAGCAATAGCGTAGATGTTAACTTTGCTTCCATGCTACAAAAATAAAACACTTGAGTTTGCTTCAGTTGCAAAAAAGTGACAAACTAATTTTTCTCTATTCTTTTACATTCCCTGTTTTTGCTAGAGATGTGTTGAGGACAAAATTGGAAAATAAGTAATTTACAAAAAAGATCAACTGTGATCCAGCCAGAGAACATGCAAACCAACAAGAATCTCAGAAGCTGGACACAGATCAGCTGCAGGGATCAAAGACAGCCAACTACCATACAATATTTTCATTTAAACTAAATTAGCTACCCCATTAGGACTCGTGCGCAAAAACACTCTAATTAAATAGAGACATGTATTATATGACAAGCAAAGTATTTCAAGCAAAATTCTTCCGTACATGAAAAGCTGTACGTGCCTAGTGTCACCACCCAATTAATGCGTTAAAGCATTTCTACTGCGAGACATTTAATTTGGCTTTGCCCAGTAGCTGATACAGATGCAAGTAAGGTCAAAATCATAATTCCCACATTTCCATCCCTAGCATTTCAAACAAATGCTCTCAAAATACACTTAAGATCACCTAGAATCTAAGGATAAACAAAAGTCATCATTAAATATCAGATCCCCAAGTCAGTGAACCACACTGCTATGAAGTTAAAAAGTGGATCTGAAGGAATTGCCTGCTCTAAGTGTACTTGTTACACACATCATTATGGAATTCTCTTGTCTCAGTGAATAAAAAAAAAAAAAATTCAAAAGATACCTTCAAGAATCATACATTTCATTTATGTTAGCTAGAGAGTATAATTTAACTAATTGCTACCTAGTTCTTGATGTATTGTCCCCAATCCACCACCACAGCAATACAATTTCTATAAGTCAGAAGTGCCAAAGACAGGGTTTCCAACTTTAGATATACTTATCTATATGAAGTCAAAGATAATACGATAGGAAGATCTTGCATCTTGAATGGGGTTCTAGATTTCTTCCTGCATTAAGTGCTCAATAAAGTTCCATTCTGCAAACAATAATAAGCAGAACCATTCTGCAAAAAAACAACCCCGAGTTTCTTAGCCAACCTTCAATTCAACATAAAGCAATTAAAAAAAAGGGGGGGGGGATGGGGGGACGGGACATAAAAGCCAGTCCGAGAAGAGCAAGATTAAAAGGTAAGATTTATTTTGTTAACTGCCAGACCAGACTAAGCTTTCTGGAATATAAATTTTAAAATTTCCCTTGTTCCTCAGCTTAAAATCCACAAAGAACATGAGTCTTTAGAGAAACCAGTTATACCTGGAGGTAACATGCTGAGAACACTGAGCAAATATTTTATTCTAAACTAATATTAAACAACAATTTTAGATGGTACTCTTAAAAACAATAGAAAAAATATTTTAAAATTAGGATTATATATATATATTAGGTATCGCCTTCGAAACAAAGCATTCCTAGGCACTTCAAAACACATCATTCGTACCAGTATGTTTCACACATCCACTGGAAATATCCTTACAATTTTAAGCTGTTACTTCAAAAATAGGTTACATAATTATGATGGACTTAGAGGGGTTACACAAATATATTTTACAGCTCTTATACAACAAGCGTCACACCTTAGTTCCACAAAGACTAGTTTATCCATATGAATACAGAAGACCAGAGTCCAAAGTTTCCTCTCTTCCACAGGGGAAGGTTGCAAAGTAGGGATATTATCCAAAACCGAAAACAGGCTTCTTTTACAGTAACTGTTATAAAAGCAAATACGAGCAGCAGCCAATGAGTTAGAGAAGTTAAATTGCAGCTCAGGTCACCTTCTGAAAGGGTCACAGTGTTTATTGTATCTATATTGCAAGGAAGATACACAAACTATCCTACACCATTGAAAAGGCTTATTTTGAAAAAAATGGGTTTGAAGAAACAGAATCCAAAAAATAATATCTCCCATGCTCAAGTAACACCATCTTGAAAATTAGCAAAGGGACAATGGCATAGTCAACATGACAAGCAAGTGATTCAACAGCTGGCTGCAACTGTATGTTTCAGGAACACACTCCCCCGCCTCCACCTCCCGAACTTCCATATTTGCCTACGCAGCCTCCCAGTTGTGCCTGCCTGGCCCCCTTGGTCAGCCCCCTACCCCAGGAATCTGCTCCGCAAAAAATATAAACAAACCAACCCTGCCAGCTCAGCGGTCTGAATCAGATCGCCAAGGAGATGGAACACCAGATAAGCAGTTAGAGCAAGAGACAGGCAAGGTCCTCCCAAGTGGGAGCAACGTAGTCTCTTGAGGCAGCAGCAATTTGTTAAATCAAATCAACTGTCCATCCAAGCCCTACTATGAGAAGCGATACACCACGTGAAGCTACACACTCAACAGCTGGTTGTATGAGCTTTACATGAAGAAAGCCATCATGTGTGAAGCTATTTTTCATCTCAATACAAGAGTTTCAAAGCACATGAATTCATCTGAAAATATTTTGGGTTTTTTCCTGCATAAAAAAGTATTTTATAGCGAAGTACACCACGGTTTATTGACCTGGGATCAGAAGAAGGAAACCTGCTTGCTTTGTGAATGCTGAAAAGACATGTGCTGGAATGTTTGCTAAGACTTTAAGAGGTATATGTCAAACAAGTGTATGTATTTTGTTGATTAAATTATTTTTCATGCAGATGTTAGCTTATCTTTAGCCAGGATTGAAGCAATGGAAATTCCAAATGGTATTAAATACTTTGCAATAATTCAGAATGTAACGGCTAAAGAAAAAAAAAAAAAAACCAAACCAAAAACCTAAGTAATTGCAAATCCAGAATCCAGAAAGGAAAGAAATGCCAGAGCCAACCTAATATCATGGAATTTAAACCTTGTCTGCAATTGATCATTAAGACTTAATGTTAAGTGTTAAAGTCTGGGTTAGTCAATTAGTCATGATCATATACAATTCAACAATAAAAAGCAAACAGTTTAAAAATAGCTTTTAAAATATTATAGATTAAGGTTTACACTATGGACCTGACAGTTATGGAGAGGCAAAAGAAACAACAGCTAGCTGGCCTTGCTTCTGTAACAAACTAGACAAAAATCATTCCACACCCCCTCATTAAGATAAACATACGAAATACAATGAACAAACAAAAACCCCAATATATCTTAAATATAAGCAAATTACACAGGTGAACTGAACTTGAACACTCTACTTTCCTATCTGAAATGAAAAAACTTTAAAGGTCAAGTCCAATTTTTTTACTGGGGGGAACGATGTGTTGCCAAACTATTCAAATGAAACCACAAATGAATACCTTAAAAAAAAAAAAAAAAAAAAAAAAAAAAAAAAAATTTTTTCATCAACCCCAA